AATGATTACAGGCCTTACTGTGTGGATTTATTCCCCTAAATCCATTAACAACTAGTAAGGCAAATAATCCAGCATCAAGTTTCAGGAGTTCTTGGGAAGGAAGATAATCTTCTGAGGGGAAAAAAAAAATCTGCCTTGGAACAGAGAAAATCAGCACTGAAAACACGCTTTTGCTGCCACCAAGTGGCACTTTTCATAATTGCTTCTGGACATGACCAGCGGAGTGATGGCCCAGCTCTTCCTCCTTTCATTCCTTTGCAAGCCACCTGTGTCACCCTTTGGAGATGCACGGTATTTGCACAGACAAGGAAATCTTTCCCAGTTTGAAAGGCTGTACAACCAATGCGATAAATTCCACAACTGAGAGGCCTCAGAAAGGCAACATTAGGAAGGGCTGGCAGCTCCAAACATTAAAATCACTTCCTGGGCCCTCCCTGCTGGTGCAGGGGGTAAATGCAGCACTAAGAAGCTAAAGCCACTTCCGCATGAGTTCAATCCCCAGCTTCGGAGGTGACCCACATGGCGTGACAGACCTCTCCTGGCCCACCCACTGCTCCCTCAGCAGTGTACTTCGTCAGTCAGCCTGTTCTACTCCGCACTCTGTCTCTGGTGAATCCTCTCATCTCCCCTGCCGCCTCTGGCCTGTACCCCAGTTCTGTATGCATAAATAAATAAATCTTTTAAAAAAAAATCACTTCCTTCAGGCCAATAAGGATCTCAGCTGCCTGCTGAGCTCACCTCTCTTCCTTTCACCAGATAGAGACCCTCCACCTAGACTGGCAGTGAGTTAACTAGCTGAACACAAACGAGGTAGTCTACAAGTAGGGGGCGGTTCAGGCAGAATGAGTTTTAACCCAACCGTATAACCATATTTCCTATGGTTTCGGGGCTTCCCCACCCCATTTGCATCACATTTTCTTCAGGTTTCAGCCCTGGAGGTCAATGGTACAGCATACTGGGCAAGTGTGGTCGCCACATATCCGCCTCTTAACTTAGGGGATTGTTTTGCCCCTTTCCTCTTGGAGCACTTTCCATTTTCTCTGCCAAGACAGAATTCATTAAATACGGGTTGAATGAAAGGAAAAAGACAATTGCTGTATTAAAGCAACGCGAAACCAAAACGCTGTAGCAGCAGGTTGCTGTGTTCTGAAAAGGTTTCCCTCAGAGCCCCGGTTCTTCTAACTGGAAAGTGCATCCATGTGATTTGGATTTTGAAAGGAAAAGTCCCAGATAAGCCCTTGAGGATAGAAGTTGAGGCAAGAGGGAAATGAATTACTCTACGGAAATAGTCAGAGGAATTCTGGATGTTAGTGGGGGCGGGCAGTCCAGAGAGTGAGCACCTGAATCTTGGAGGAGGAAATGGAATGCTTCTGGGGGTCTAAAATTCAAAGGAAACTGTGTATTAGAACCATGAAACGACGTTGCTGGTGATGAGATCCCCCCTCGGTCCCCAAGAGCACGCTGGCGCCACCTGTGACCGTGTCATGCTCTCCAGACCACCCCCGCAGCGCTCTGCCACCCCTACTGCAGGTTCTACTTCAGGTTCTGGTGTAACATGAGCGTTAAAACAAATCCCCAAATCATGGCTTCTGAGAACCTCTCCCTCGGCTTACTACTGTTTTCCAAGTCCTTCATTTTGCATCTGGGATTTTTTTTTTTTCTTCTAACCTTTGGGTAAGCTCAGGTTTGCATTTAAAAAGAGTCTATCAGAAAATGAATCCTTGAATTGGCTAACTAATTCATTAATAGAGTCTATCAGAATACACCGTATTTTCCAACATTTCCCAGGATGCCTCTGAGAAAAGGAAGATGTTGGTGAAATGTCAAACTCTGGCTGGAGTAAGAAACTTCTCAGCAGCAGGACTCCCCTATCATGCCTGGCATTCACAGACATTCAAGCTACCAGCTTCATCATGCTGTGTTCCCCACACAAGCAGGAAGCTTCCTTCCTGCATCCCTCAGTCAGAGCCCAAAAATGTAAAGCTGCAAGATAAGTCAGAGGGAGAAAGGCACACAAGGTGGTTTCACTTGTATGTGGAATCCAGAGAAGCAAAACAAAGGAACTGACAAAACTGAATCAAAACCCACCCTAAAAATAGGACCGCAGGACTGAGGCTCTCAGAGGGGCTGAGTATGACTCAGGGGGCAGGGGACTCAGTGGTCAGTGTAGAGAAGAGTTTGGGTTACTACTCAGCCTCTGTGAAAAGGAGGATGCTGGAGAAATGTTCAGATGCCAAGCTGTGCATGAATGGCGGAGAGAGTTTGGAGCCACACTCTTCCAAGGCATAGACAGAGGTGCGTACCAATGCTACTTCGATGAACATGAATAAAACTTCAAAAGAGACACAACCACAATGTAGCATTGGAGGAAAAAAGATGAATATGGTTTCATCTTGGAGACTTAAAGGAGAAAAGAAGTTACTATGAGCAGCCTTTTGACGAGAGGGTAAAAAGAAAAGCCAAGAAAAGGGATGTAAGAAACACGACTTGCCTGAGGCTTAAACCTTTCCCTGCCTCTCCCCTGCTCCAGCCAGCTGGCTCTCTGCTTACCTCCCCAGGGATGGCCAAGCCACAGGAGCTGCAGCCCTCTGCAGGGACATCACCGTGTAACAGAAAACCAGGAGCAAGCAACCTGGCGGTTGTCAAAGGAAGGCTGGCTCACTCGCCTGCCAATCTCGAGTTCCAATCACATGGACTTAGAGGGTTTGTTCTTTGTAAGTAGGGATCAGGGGACTGAGGCTTCACATAAATTTATACCCAGCCCCAAAATTGGAGGGGGCAAAGGCAAATCATTCCCCACTCCCGGGAAACTCCCTTCTTCCTCTCTGAAACCCTAAATCCACTCAGTTGAGGCTTGAAAGTTTGTAGCTAAGAAGGTTCTACATGAACACAGACAGAGACGTCTGAAGCCTTTTCAGAATGGCACTGGACAGCATTCCCAGAGGGACCCACAAGCCAGGACACTCTACCATCCTCCCGGCAAATCAGACAGAGTGGAATCCTGAATTCTCAGCACCAGCAGCAGGGCTTGCTCCAAAACTGCCCTCATGTGACTGTGCCCACTGCCCTCTCCACACCCGCAGGCCCCGTCCCCCCCAGTCCTACCAGAAAGGTCTCAGATAACCTGGCGTCTCTGGGAGAAACCCCAAAGCTCTTGGCTACACTTGCTCTAAGTTTCTTTTCCTCTAAGTTTACATTCCTGCCTTACTTAAAATGTTCACAAATTCAGACGGAGTGTCGTAAATCTCAGTAATACTTCTTTTATACACGGCCATGTAATTTCTTCTTTTATGTATAAAACTAAGCCATTACTTCGCTGCTTTAGATTGCAGCATTATTAGGACATCCTTTCAGTTAAAAGAGCCTTTTCCAACAAAAATGAGGCACATTGGTGAGGAGTGTGGGCATTACCTAAGATTATGAAATATATTTAGGCTGAGAATAAAAGAATCACGTTCAATTTTAATTGACAGATATGCATAAACCCTAACTACTTCCTCTCTAGATTTCTGCATGTATACCCTACTTCTTTTAATTTTCCAATTCAGCTTGAATGATAAAAATACAAAGAAAGAGCAACAGAATCAGCCATCAGTCAAACCTGTGCTAGCTTCAGGGCTTACTATATCACTGGGATTCACTACTTTAGTATAACCACTTCTCAATTATTGCTTACAATATTTAATTATAATGCATTCTTATAAATCGATGAAATCTCCCTGGGCTTCAGTATCTCCATTTGAAAAATGAAGATACTACAAATACCTATTGCAAGTCAGCGTGAGGTTTAAATAAGAAAATCTGTATCTGGCACTGGATGCTCAGTAACTATTCACTCTCATGAAGATGGGTTTTATGAACTAATGAGCACTGTGCAATGTGCCACAGGTCACCTATTAATTCACTTATTACTTTTAAACTTGCTTTTGTCCTTAGGATATATACTTTCTGCTGGCACAGACCTTGTTAGCTCCACAAAAGAAAACAAATAAATTAGATAAAAAGCCAACTTCTGAGCAAATATTTTATACACAATATTTTATATAGTACATCCAAAGTATATACTGCCATTTAATGTATCATCTGTCATCAATGAATAGTGCTGACTAAATCCACATCACATCACAACAGCTGCACTGTGGGAAGCAGTGACACCCTTGCGACTTGCCTACGCTCCTCTTAGAAGAGAAGGGCAAATACCTAGGATAAACACCTAGCTGCCCACTCAGCAAGGAGGCTGAGCAACGCATTCCTTGTTACTATTTCAGTGCATACTAACATCTACAGTGGTTTATTATCACTAATTGAATTCTTCATACTGTAGGCCAAGCCAATCTCTTTATAATCTGGCTTTTATAACTTACTGACAACAAACTGAGAACTAGAGAAGCTGTAAAATAAAGCCTTGAACCTTACTGACAGCAAACCAAGAACTAGAGAAAGCTAGTAGCTACCACATCTTCATGCCACAATGATTTGATTGGTGATCTGATAAGTATAGATTACAACCCTGAATTTGATACAGGTGGCCTACTTTTAAAATGACCCATTTATAACACAGGTCCCTCTGTTGGAACTGTCAAGAGACTGGAAAAAAATAAATGTTACCAGCATCAAACACCTTTAAGCAGGCATTGTAAAGCAATGGGATAGCAAAATTGGAGGCCCACATCTCAGCCACCTCTATTAATTGTGCGTTAACAAAGCAGCAAGATTCCTGATTCTCATATTCCTGTCTCTATCAAGAAATCAACGCCTGCTCTCAAACTACCCCAGAAATATCCTAGCGAATAAGGCACACCATATAACACTGCAAAATGCTGGAAATTTTGGGGGGAGAAAAGACTGAATGTTTTACATTTGAAAAATGCACAGATTATCCATATTTCAAATAGAAGGTTAGTAAAGGAGATTTAAGTTTCAGTACACTAAACTCTCCTTGAATCTTACAAGTTTGAAACAAAACACTCACCACAGTAGAAAGGGGAAAGATCACCTACCCCATGTTCCCATCCATTAGAAGAATGGTGTTGTATATGTGAGAAAAGATGAAGAGGAAGAGAATCGTGCTGAAGAACATCGTCATCCAGGACCCATGGTCCTCTCGAAACATTTTTAACCGCAGCAATTGACCTGCAATATAAACATCATTAAAATCAATGTTCATTGTAACTCATTAGTCACACTCTGCTTTTGTGGGGAATCTCTGTTATTTCACTGTACTCTCACATCCTGGCCAGAGGAACTCCCCAGGGCTGAAACCACTCTTTTGTCCCTTTCGTTCTTTTGCAAGTAAATGATAATGAATGACACCCCAGAGATACCTATAAGAGACTGTGCAAAATGGGAATCCCGTCTTCGGAGAGACGGCTTATTGTGCTGGCATGAAAATGTGCATGATTCGGAACACTGCTGTATGTTTTCTATTTCACAAATATGTTACTGGTTTATTCATACAAAAACTACTTAAGGCAATGGTGAAGAAGTTGCATAAATATATATGTTTTTGGATGAGAATTCTCTCTCTATCAACAGCCAGCAGTTTTCATACACAGTTAAGTTACCAAACACAGGACAATTATTAAAATGGCACTTCAAGGCACTCCCTGGTAGTGCAGTGGGTTAAAGCACAGCACTATGAAGCGATCCACAGCCACTGCAGCACGAGCCCAGGGAGCTGACCCACATGGCCCAGCAGACCTCTTCTGTCTCGCTTGCTGCTCCCTTCAGCAGTGTACTTCATTGATCTGCCCGTTCTGCTCCCCACTCTGTCTCTAGTGAATGCTCTCACCACCCTGCACCTCTGGTCTGTACTCCAGTTCTTATATATATGCATAAATAAATAAATCTTTTAAAAATATATAGCACTTCAGACTGCACTTGGAAACCAACACTAATAGAAATACTGTCCTGGCTGAAATTTTAAATAGAGCCAACATGGGATTTTTGGTGACCTCAGGCTGTGTCTTGGCATAACCAAAGGGGGCCTGAATCTCCCACGCTAACTCAGCATCCTTCAGAATCTAAAGCTGTCCCTCAAACTAACGTCTCCTGCATTCTACACTTAGCATATCCTACTACATGGAGAAAACAAGCCTAACCTCAATCTTAGGAACTTCCATGGATTATTCTATTAAAAAGGTTACTCATACTAAAAATTCACCAAACACAAAAAGAAATGAGTGGAAGTTGGCAAAAACACAAACAAGACAGACTGTTAAAGGACTTTGAATACTGGAGTTATCAACAGAAAAAAATTTATGTCTTATACTTACATATATATAATAGTAATAATCTTTTAATACCTATTAATTATATCAACACTCTAATTTCTGACTATGTCTGATGCATTTACTTTCTTCCCATTAGGTATCATCTTTGCCTGCCTAATTTTCTTTATTGATTTATTGACTGACATACAATATTAGTTTCAGACATCAACCAAGTGCTCAAATTATTTTGTATATTATGAAATGGTTATCACAATAATTCTAGTTAACATCCATCATCACCCACAGTTAGTAAATGCTGAACTTCACATGCTCAGGAACGGCTTTATAACTGAAAGAGTCCCTGTCAACCACCTTCACCCATTTCACTCCTCCCCTCACCACCCCCACCCATACCTCTGACAATGGGCAATCTGTTCTCTGTGTCTATGAGCTCTATGTTTTGTTTTAGACTGTTTTAATCATACAGCATTTCTCCTTCTCTCACTGATTTCATTGGCCATAAGGCTCTTGAGATCCATCCATATTGTTGTAAATAGCAAGATTTGGATCTCTGGTAATTTTTTAGTGGACACCAGACACAAGTTTCACTTTCTTGGATGGCAGGTAGTTTTGTATTTTTCCAAGTACTCTTATGTGTTATTCTGAGGTGCATTTAAGTTATTTGGAAATCATTTTATCTTGATGAGCCTTACTTTTAGGCTTATTACTAGGCCGAGGGGGGCTCTTTTCTAGATCTACTGAATACTCTATTTGACACACCATAAATTGAAGGTCTTACCTCTCTCCCCAGGAGTACATAAACTAATCCCAGCCCCGTGCAGCCATTAAGGAATTTTCCCTGTTCTTTTTGAGTGACTCCTTCCCGTGCCTTTGGGGGTTTTCTCCCATGCAAGGGCTGATGAAGCAAAGCAGATCTGGATCTGTAGACCTCTAGAGAAACTTCTCTGTGCTCCGCTCTCCTTTCCTGGCCCATCCTATGCATTCTGGTTGCCTTGCCTCGTCATACAATTAACACTACCTTCTCAGTTCACAGAGACCCCAGGAGTTTCCTGACTCCCTTCTTCACACACTGAAGCTAGAAATCCTCTCCAGGAAGTCAGATGGGGTAACTGTAGGCACATTTACATAAAAATATGAAGAAAGAGACTTTTTTTGCATAGAAGAACTAGGGTACAGGCCAGAGGTGTGGGGAGGAGTGGGGGGAGGACCAGAAACAGAGTGGAAAAAACAACAAGCAGATTGACTGATATACACTGCTAAGGTTGTCAGCCAGTAAGAACAGAGAGCTCTTCTGCACCATGTGGGTCAGCTCCCTGGCAGGGGATCGAACTCAGGCTGTTGCATGAGTGCTGAGACTTCACCCCTAGGCCACCAGGGCGGCTCAAGAGACAATTTTGAAACCATACAGTCAAGACAGATTGCTTCAAAGTCATAACAGCCATGACAGTGGAAGACTTCCCAACAGTCATGATGGGGGTCATAAAGCAATGCTTCAAAGTGCTGAGAAAGAGGACTGTCAATGTACAGTTATGTGAACTGAGCAAAAGTATCTGCTGCAATGAAAGCTGATACTGGAAGAACCAAAGAGCAAACAAGGCAACCAGGACATGAGAGCCAAGACCCTGAAAGAAGTAAAGTGCACTCAAGTGAGCTCCCATTCACTGTTCTTCCTTCCCTTCGGGATATTTGCTGGTTATTCAGGGTGGGGAAAAGGGCATACGTGAAACACTGTGACCTAGCATTTGAAGCAATGTCAGTGGATCAGAGACAAAACCTGTAGAGCAGTGTCACAGGTGCAATCTGGATACAAGGACCAGAGCACCAAAAGGGGGCAGGGGTTCGGAATATGGGCCCAAAATCTAACACAATTTCCCATATAACAATGCCGACCCATAAACTATGTAAGTGAGAGGCAGGATTAGCTGCTATAAGAAAAAACTAGATTTTTAACAGTCTTAAGATGGTGAGGGAACAAAAATTGGTATTCAGTACACATAGATCCAGACTTGTGAGAAAAGCCCAGATTTCAGTTAGGATGACAGCTAAAGAGGTAGGGACCACCATAGGGGGAGGAACAGATCAACCCAAACAAGATTTTTATACACGTTCCAAAAGAAAACTAAATATATTCGAGGGTAGATTATTATTGTCAACTTTATTTCTTTGTATGTTACCTGTTGTATCCAAGTTTGAGGAAATATGCATGAAAGGAAACAAGATACAAAAAATGTACTGGAAACCAAGAGAAAAAGCAGATAATATAAATAGGCCTGTAAATGGTGTCGATACAGAGTTATCAGGCATAGAATTCAAGGTAAACAGAATTAACATGTTCAAGAACATAGGTGAAAAGAGTATGAAATTTACTAAGAAATGAAAAGCATTTTTTAAAAGCATTGTGAAATTTGTAACTGAAAAATAAAAACAGAAATTAAAAACCAATTTAATAGCAGATGCATATGTACATACTGTATAAATGTAGTATAGAAGTATTCTCTTTCAGATACTGAACACTAAGCAGATTAGTGGGGAACAGAGGTGTGAAGTGATAAAAGCTCATGAAGAAAGTGATTTATTTTTCAAATTTTTGCATAGAAGAATGGGAGTGTATGCAGGAGGTGAAAGGATTCACCAGAGACAGAGTAGGGAGCAGAACAAGCAGATCAACTGAAATACACTGCTGAGGGGGGCAGCAGGCAAGGCAGGAGAGGTCTGCTGCACCATGTGGATCAGCTCCCTGGCCAGGGATCGAACTCAGGTCGTAGTGGTGATTGTGTGTTAGCACTGAGACTTAACCCCTCTGCCACAGGGAGGCTCAAGAAAGTGATCTTGACTGTGCTGGTGGCTTCGATGGCTTCTCAGCCACAAACATGTCAAACCTTATACAACTATACACTTAAAAGATGCAGTTCATTTTATGCCCAATATACATAAAGTTGTTATAAATAAAAAGTTGTTAGGATTTAGAACATGTGGAAGTTAAGGTTATGATAAAAATAAATCAAAAGGAAGAGGTAAATGTAATTTAAAACAAAGGTTCTTTGAAAGAGTTCAAAATATTAATTAAAAGTAGATGCTAATTAGTCAATCATGTGTTTAAGTCTCTAGAGTAATCACCAAAAGAATAAATGTATAACTAACAAAGTAATAGAGTGGGGTAAATTAAGTATAAAAATAAGTGATTTATCCAAAGGCAAGCAAAGAAGAGAAAAAAAAAAAAACCTTAGGAAATATAGGATAATCAAAAAGCTATTTTGGAAACATGACAGACTTAAACCCAAAGATATCACTAATCACATAAGTGCACAAGACCTAAGTATTCCAACAACTGTCACAAAGACATTAAATTGGAAGAAACATAAAAATGAGAAAGTAAACTTTCATACTTCAAGAAAGTAAACTTAACTCCAAAATAATCTCAGAAGAAATACCTGTGACAAGAAGAAATGGGGAGAAAATAAACTAATCAAAGTGTATCAAATTTAAACACCATGTAGAATAATATTCTTGTGGGATTAAAAATAGAACTAGAATATGTAACAATCCCAAATTAATATGAGGTTAAGCCTAGTTTACTTGATCGAGGATGGACATCATTAGGGAGGTGATGAAGACACTGATTACTGCTCAGTATACTTAATATGCAGAGTAAAATTTCAAGGGTACTGACTAAAAGAGTATGCATTGAATAAAAACACATAAACAAAATGGGAGGGTTGAGAAGTGATAGAAAAATGAAAGAAACAAATGACCAGATTAAATGGGGCTCCATAAAAACTGGAGAAAAGGAAGAGAAAAGTTGTGTGAGTAGCGAATACCACAAAAGGTGGCAGAATTGTCATAATATAAAACAAACATACTGATATTCTAGCTAGGAGAAAATAATTTTAAAACATAGGA